TTTAGACTAGGGATTGCTGTCATAAGGGAAACATCTTTATATAAGAACTACTATTGTAGCAAAAAGCATTTAGTTCTCATTATATTCAAAGATTTCAATTCCAGTGTGTTTTATTCAGTACTGTATGGAAGCTATTTCTAAACATGCAGCTTTTAGCCTGCCTTCTTTATTTACACTTGTCTTGGAGTTGCTTCAGTTACTGTCAGTAATTCTGCTTTATTATTTAGTGATACCCAAATACAACAGAGGAAATAATTTGTTTTTTAAAGTAAAGAAAGAAAGAATACATTTTTGTGGAGAATTCTGACAAAGCTTTTATATCTAGTATGTGAAAGTCATCTACATATCTGATTTTCAGGTAGTTTATTGAGTCCATTTGTAAGGATTTTGACAAGTGAAAAATTATTTTTGTGGCAATGAGATGTTAAACAATGAAGGAAATAGGATAAGAGTTTTGTTGGAATGCTGAAGTTCATCTGTGGGTCACTAGCATGGGAGTTTTGGTGCACATGACGTGTTAATTGAGAAAGGAAAAATTGGAGACAGAAGTTGATTTAGAACCGTAGGTGTCTATATCAGGGAAACAAAACACAAATGTAAATCCCCACTCATATTGGTCAAAATACAGATAAGGTTATTGTGGGACAACAGTTGAGGTATTTCAACTTTTAAGGGATTGGTAGCTATTTTTCTGTATTCCCAAAAACACTGCAAAGTGATGAGACAAAGAATATTTTATATTCACAGTATTTCCCTTGAAAAATATGCAATAAGGTTTGAAATACTGTTGGTAGGGATATTGAACAATGACATTTCATGGATTTATTTTTTTTACTTTTGAATCTACTTTCCAGTAAAAAGGTCTGATACAAAAATTACAGTAGCAGCATTTCCATTTTTTTTTAATGAAAATCCTGATTACAGGCAACAAAAACTGAGCTGATCTGCTATTCTTATCACATTTATTTTGCTTTTTTAAAACTTTTTTTTATTCCTGAATTGTGAACATTGTGAAAACTCTTACTCTAAAAAGTCAACTTGAATACAACGCTATTTTAAGCTGAAAATGTTTTTCTGTCTTGAATAACTGAGACTTAGTGTATATGCTTTGGTGACTAGTTGCAACTACAGCATAAGTCTGGTTACTGCTACAAAGAATGCTTCTTTGAAATTGAGATTCTCCAAAGAAAATGTCTGGATAAAATGAAGGCACAGAAGCAAGGATAGACTGACAGATGAAAAGTAGATGGGTAGGTTGAGTAACTGCTGCTGCCTTTCTCTTCTCTGTTACCTGTTAGGCATTCTTTGGAACAAGTACTGTTGTTACACCACATTAGATTTTGTTCCTACAAACTTCATTCCTTTCACTGCAATTGCAGTAAGTTCCTGTCAGCCTGACAGGACAGTGTCAGAATCTTGCCTGGCTAAAATTGTCCTACTATCCTAACCTTTACAATTTACTTTGGTGAAAAATCTGCTGAGTTTTGCCCCAGGTAAATGGCAGAAAATAAGAAAATTCAACAAATTTAAACAAAATAATTATCTTCTTTGCCATGAGGTGCTGCAGAAGTCTTCAAAATTCAGCATTCCAGTAATAATTTGTTTCCGTTTGTTGGAATAATTGGTTATATTTATAGCATATATGTTTATAAAATATTTATAAAATTTTTGGAACCAAGTTTTCCACTGACAGCATTTTTTTATGTTTTAGGAATGTGCTAAGCATGCAGAAGTAAACTTACTGATAGCAAAGGAAATTTCTAGAAATAGCATGCTGTACCATTTTGACTGTTGAAAAAATATTTTGGATGTGTTTTAGACAAAGGATTTCTGTATGGATTGCTAATTTCATCATACTGGATTTTTGCTTCATCGGGTACAGAGTTATGTACTGCCTCTGATCTTAAAAGTCATGCAGTTATAATTGTTATCTCAGATGATATTTCGATCAGTGTGTGGCTAATATATCTTTACAATGGAAGTAACCTTGACTGAATAATGAATCGAAGTAGGCTCAGGCATCAATCACTTATTTATGCTGTAGAGAAGATATTTCAGTAGATTTTTGAACGTCATCTCTCCAAGAAAGACTACTTTAAAGAATGAGAGGTTTCATTATCCAAAGAAAGTAATTTCTCTAGGATTAGTAAAAAATACTTGTTTAAAATTTTACTTCGGTTCCTGAGGTCCTCAGGGAGCCCCAAGACACAAAGTTCTGCTTTAGCATATGGATGTATTATGTAGACTTTCAAAATCATGAATTTTAATTTTAAAATATTAATTCAGTCAGCTGGGCATTGAGACCTGAAGGTATTAATTCTGAGAATATTTTATTCACATGTAGGCTAAGAGTGAAGACTGCTATTCCGTACTGATTCTCTGCTTTCCTAGTGCAGATTTGGTTTATTTTCACAAAAATTTTTAAAATACTTAAAATATTAAAACCAACTGGATCAAAGTTAGTTGTGGTGTAATAGAGAAATCGCTGCTCTCTCAGGTGCTGGGTAGCAGTTCAATCCAAGACATTTGGCTCGGATTAAGTTAAGTTAATGGTCACATCTCATACAGCTTAAAACAGTGGGATGTTCTGCTTGAGAAAGATGGGAAATGGAACTAGCACGAATGATGAATTATTTCTTACCTTTAGGTGGTCTTTTCAGACTTGAACTTATTTTGAGGGAGAAATAAGAAATACAAATGGTCCTACTTACGTTATCCTTGGCTTCTGAGTTAAATGAAACAAAACAAACTTGTCTCAGTATTCTGTTTTTCCAGTCAAGTGTGTGCAGGATTTTGAGAAAGGTGCTACAAATGTTACAGTTCTCTCTACCTGAAGAATTTGCTGATTTCTATACTCCTTTAATTACAGAAACACTCTGCTTAACCAGTTAGGTAGATGTTCTTTTTGCTGTTATTAAAGAGAAAAATGAAAAAAAAAAGTATTTTTTCGCTTTTATTGTGATACTTTCCTGATTCATAACAATTTAAATATATATGATGAATGTGCTAAGTCTGCTTTATGAGTCCAGATCTACTTGCACTTGCACAACTGTGAAGAAAAATGGAACTGCCATTTTTCGGGACTTTGTTCAGTAAACATTAAATGAATAAAACTCCTTGTATATTTGGCTTTTAGATGGATGGACCTGCTCTCATGAGTAATGACTGCTTCTCTACTTACTGTGTTTTGTGCCAATATTATCTTATCTCTATTATTGTATTACAGATTATCCCTTTCAGCAGTATGAGTATTAAATTTACTAATTAAGTTGTGTAAAAGACAAAGTGATAGATTCTTAATTTTGTTTCTTAGGGTCTAAGCATTTTTATTTAACCACTTTTATGCCACTCCCTCCCTTTTAATTGCAAGACATTATGGTCATAAGACATGGTGCTAAGATACCATTTTAGAATATATTGTGAATACAAATCCCTTTTGGTTAACCAGTGATTTTATCAATTTGTGGCTGATGGATTTGTGTTTGGGATTAAGGAATGGTTGCTGTTTTCAGGTGTCCACACGGTTCTGTCAAGCTAACCAGAACACAAAATTTGAAGCCAGTGGTGGCTTTCCTCCATAATACCAGAGAGTTCCTAATTTACTATAAACCCTGCTGATACAAAATTAATTCCTCCACGTTTTCTGACAAAACTTGGAAAATTAGAGTTGAGTTTATGGCAATTATGCTTTCTATCGCTTTGGATTTGGTATTAGAATGATCAAGGCTGGACTTTCTGTACTGTTGACTCATTGCCTTAAATTGCAGCTCCACTATGAATTTATGCTGGTCTACTTTCTTTTCATGCCTCCAACTCATGCTGGTGTATTTGTGAGCATATGTTGGATCAGATTCAGGAACTGATTGAGTTAAACTAACTGAGAAAAACAAAACAAAATTACTTTTGATTTGCATCAGTTCCCTAATCAGGTTTGTTATGTTACTGCATTTGTGCCAGGGTAAAAGAAGGGCATTGATAGAAGGAACAAATAGTCAAAGGTACCGAAGGAGGAAGGAGTACTCGTTTCTGGGTCAATGCCATTTGCTCACGTAAAGTGTTCACATAACTTGAATCACAGAGTTACACTGAATCCCAAGAAGTGCTCATGGATATGAATAAGAAGCATGAGTGAAACAACTCGTTTGGAATCACAGAATCATCAAAGTTGAAAGAGACCTTCAAGGTCATCTAGAATCACCCCTAAATCATATCCCCAAGTGCCAAATGCAGACACCTCTTGAACATTTTCAGGGACAGTGATGCCACCACCTTCCTGGGCAACTTATTCCAATACCTAATCACTCTTTCAGTGAAAGTTTTTTTTCTGATGTCTAATTTGAGCCCCACCTGGTGCAATTTAATGCATTTCGTGTTGTCCTTTCACTTGAGACATAGCAGAAGAGACCAATGCCCACCTCACTACCACCTCCTTTCAGGAGTTGTAGAGAGCAGTGAGGTCTACCCAAGAATTTTCTCCAGACTAAACAACTCCAGTTTCCTCAGCCACTCCTCATAGGACATGTTTTCTAGACCTTTCACCAGCTTTGTTGCCCTTCTCTGGGCATGCTCCAGCACCTCAATGTCCTTTTTGAAGCGAGGGGCCCAAAACACAATCAGTACTCAAGGTGCAGCCTCACCAGTGCTGAGTGCGGCTGGACAATCACTTCACTGTGGCTCCATGCTATTATCAGTTCTTGATTCCCAGTTCTCTCCATGATTCTCATAAAATAATAAACTAATAATAACAATATTCGTTGCTGGATCAAAAAGAAATTTAATTTTTAACTTGTGTTTTACTATTTTGTTCTTTTTTTTCATGAAAGTTCTTGTAACAGTAGTACAGAGAAATGGTTTAGGCAAAAAAAAATTTGCATTTTTGTCTTTTTATGCAATTCGCCATAAGATAAACATCCTCCTTTTTGCATTTTCTCCCTCTCTTTTCACTTCTTCTTGATCTTATACAGTATTTTCAAGTTCATTGAAACATTATGTTTTTTAAGGTTATCACCAAACTTGGGCCACTGGAGTGGATTCTTAATACTCCCAGTCATCACAGAGTTCATCATGGTAAGATAAAAATGGAACCTCTTATTCTTTAGTGTGTTTTTTATTTTTTTCCTCAAGCTCACTATTTCTATAGTAATAATAATGTAGTAAAATTGTACTGTAAAATCAGTTTTATAGAAAGATTTCAATTTTGACCATTACATTAAAAATAGTCCCTGTTCAGTTAGAAATTTCACAATATTTTAAAAAATGTTTTTAGAACCTAATTTTATTTTAAAAATTTTATGTTTAAGATTAATTATTGAGCAGAAATTAAGTCTGGATAACATGAAAGAATTTGAAGACTGAGCAAAACAATTCAATATTTGTAAATAAGAAGAGTGATAGAAAAATATCTTATCCTTCCCTGACTACTGAAATATCATCAACACACATGCTTTTGTGTTCAAATTCAAGCACTGTAAGTGTGCAAAGACATGGTTATGTTTTGGAAGAACTGTTAAATGTTTCAGTTTTGTCTGGAATTTGGAATTTGGTTTTGGCTGTCTGAATTATTCTCACTCCACACAAGTGCATGATGATTGACTTTTCATCAATATTCAGAGGCATTCAAGACTGCACAGCATACGTAAATTGGATTAAGACTGAACTCCACTGCATACTGAAAAATGTCATGAACATATCTGAGGAGTAGAAGTGAATTTCATGGATGTCCTTGGCTCATTCAATGTGCAGAGATAATAAGTTTGAAAAAATGGGGGAATGGAAGAAAAGTTTGAAACAGACTCAAATGTAGTTATATGTAGTTATATGTACAGAGGATGTTATTAATATTTATTATATCCTCCCAGTGTGAAGTGTTTATGGCACTGTGTAGACTTTTTAAAAAGCTGTGATGCTCTAAGTGTCTAATCCTTAAAATTTGCACAACTACTGGTAATCCTGAAGGGAGACACTCTGCTCTTATTTGCTCTGCTGTAAATCTAAACTAATCCTCTGATCCTGATCGAAGTTAAGCTGAATCACTCTGGACCTGATCAAGGGTTGTACAGTTGCTCCAGAGAATCTCCATGAACTTTGGGATATGTAATTGATGTTTCTTTGCTCGTACCTTTGAGGACAGTCTATGTACAAATACATTCCCTAGAAAAACATAGAAGGATCAGTTTTCCTCACACTGAAATTAATAATAATGAAGGTAGGTTAAGACATATAACAGAAGACAGAGACAGCTGACAGCCATTAATGAGATGATTACACATACATGTGTTTAGCATATATTTTCTTTGGTATAAAACGGTGAAATTATTTTTGTTTGCTTTTTAATTTGTCTTGATAAACATATTTTGAATTGGTTTTACTCTACAAATGAATCCTTCTATTTCACAGAAGTTTTGGGTATGACACATTGGGTTTGCATGTTTGAATCTGAATAGAAAGAGAGCAGTAAGGATAGTAAGAAAAAAGAGATTTTTTAGAATTATAAGGAGTGGTGGGTTAGCTAACTTCTAAAATTATTTTTAGATTATAAAGTGATGCTAATGATGATTTTCCTTCATAATTCAGTTGCATGTATTCTTCTGTATGCCATTACTTGTCTCATAAATGATTTTTATTATAGGTAGAAATCCTTACTGCATTGACAAAAATTATGGCGGCACACTTATTATCTGGGACAGGATATTTGGTAAGTAAAAAAAAGGTTTTCTCTCTCATGTTTAGTCAGTGTGGCCAAAATATGTATACCTTTGAATTTGATTGTTGGTTGTTCTTTTGTTTTCTTCTTCCATCAGGAACATTTGAGGCTGAAGATGCAAAAGTTGTATATGGTTTAACACATCCAGTAAATTCATTTGATCCCATCATGCTCCAGGTGCCACAGTTTGAATCACTGACGCTGGTATCTTCAACAGTCAGTCCTGTTCGAAAGAAAGTCCTCTCCTAGGCACAGTTGAGACCATCCTTGCATTGCTGCACAGTCAATTACATTATCTAAATTTTTTCAGTATTTCATTGCAAGACAGTAATTTCTACTCACTGCACTGAGTATATGCAGAACTTGTAGTAATCATGAAAATACAAAACAGTAAAATCCACAACTAATTACAATGGTGATTGTAATAGGGAGAGTTCGGAAAGATACTGAAACTGAAATGGGAACACCACTGAAAGATCAACAAAGACCAATATTTATTATTAAGAGGTGGCCAACAAAACTAAAAAACCCAGGAGACAGGAAGGAGGAGAGAAATAAGCCCTCAGTACAACTCCTCCGGTCACCCGGGTGTTTTATATGAAGTTATCTTACCGACCCAGAATGCCTATAATTACCCATAGCAGAAGCTGCATTCTCGGAGAGTTGGTAGGCTCCCAAGATAGCAGGTGTCCCCACAAAAGGCAACGTTGTCCTTTGATGTGAAGCTTGCATTTTTCATCCCTCCTCCCAGCATGAGCTATCTACTTTTTATACAATTAATTGGTGACATCTACCTTGGCAGGTGTGGCCAGCACAATGCAGCTAGAGGCCTTGAGTCTCTCCCTCTGTTATGCAAGTGGTGTCTCTTCTGCACGTGCGTGGGTACCTTGGAATTCCCCTTGAGCATGTGCATTATACCTCAGGGGTCTTTTCTAATTGAGTCTGGGGGTTAACTTCATCATTCTCCTCTTCAGTTTCTCTTTCAAGTGCCCTCGAAAGGTGATGAGCCAATCATAAGACAGCAATTAATTTCAGTTTATACAAGATGCTTCCTTCAAGGATGAAGTTCTCATTTATCAGTGCTTGTTTTCTCATAACTTGGCAGTAAAAGAACAAACTTTCACAAGTGACTGGGCCAAACACAGACCAAAGTATCAATATCTAATTAAGCCCTGATACAGTGCTATAACAGGCTTTGGATTGAATGATGTCTGTTTTGCAATATGCAGTGATGCATGGACAAAAATATATTTTTTCTGTTGTTTTTCTTCTCTAGATATTGCTATTTCATAGAAAATTCCCTGATTATTTGGATACTGTTTATATCTCTTTTGCATATTTGCTGTTCAGTGTATTCCAGAATAATTTGTGTTGACAGGATTATATAGCAGCTGTCATGGTCTCAATAAAATCTCCAGAACAGGCTGAAAATAGTTTTTTAATTAAAAAAGAAAAAAAAAAGTACTTGGTGTGATGCTTCTTAGATTTATTGGTCCAGGTTTCATTTAAGCTAGATAAAAATTCTCTGTAAAAACCTGAGGAGTAGTGGAGTCTGTATTTGCTTTACGTGACTGTTCACCCAAGGAGGCATCTCAAAGAATGAGAAATTCTACCTGCATGAGTGTCTGGGCTGGAAACTGGAAGGATGTGCAATATATCCATTCTAGTTACATACCAAGTAATTTAGTTATTGAGAGTATGTCATGTCAAGGTCCCAGTAACCAAATTCTAGATTAAAACTACCATAAATATAGCTACACAATATACCATTAAATACTCTAGATTGATTATAGAAGAGACAGATGGAAAAACACATATTTCTCAGGGCAGAAGTCATTGTAATCCTCACAGTAAACCAAGGGCTTGTTATGGCTTCTGCCAATTTCAGCCAGGTTTTCTGCACTATCTTCATCTATTTCTAATTTATTCTCTTTACAGAGTTTGATAAATCATTTATTTGAAAGCTAAAAATGAATAAAATATGATGTTTTATTAAACTTTATTTTACTAACAGTGAAAAATTACTTAATTTTTTTTTCCAGCTACGTCCCTTGGCTCATATTTGGAACACATTTTGGGCCACACCTGGATTCTGCAATAAGCTTTCTGTCATATTCAAAGGGCCAGGCTGGGGACCAGGCAAACCTAGACTTGGCCTTCCTGAGGAAATCCCGGTGGTAAATAGAACATGCACAGGCTTTCAGTTGTGTGTAATTTACTTGGACCTCTTAATGCTACTGGATCAATGTTAAAAACTCTACACATGCTATTTTAAATTAGCAAATTAGCAGTCATAAAGCATAGGGGAAGATGAAATGGGAACAGAAACTGAAGGAAATTAGTGTTTTAGCTGTGGTTTTATTTCTTTTTATTTGAAAGGAAAAATATATTTTTTATTTATTTTTTCATTATTCATTTCCTGAAGAGATTTTCAAAACTGTTCTATAGAGTACAGTAATTTTGGTTTGTTTGTTTTTTTTTTTAGCTGTGGACATGCAGACACACACACACACACACAGAGTTAAACTCTGTCTCACACTAGGTAATACATGAGTCTGACCATAGATTATCTTTGTGCAATTCTCTGTCTCCCTTTCTGTATTTGTAAGTATACTACGGAGCAGGTCACTGTTGAAGACTAATACCTGTTTTGCTTTATACAGATCACTGGAAAAGAAGTTCCCTTCAATCCAATTGTACCAGCTTATCTTAATTGCTATGCAGTTGTACATTTTGCTGTAATAGTGGACTTGTACACTGAACTCCTTGCTACTGTGACTGTAAGTAATTCCTACCTTTATGAAATAACATCTTGTGCTAACAGTAATGACACACAACATTTTTAAATATTAAAGCATTGAGCAGAGGCTCTACAGTCTGACTCGTATCTTATTGGAACTTTTAAAATAATAAATAGACTCTGTAAAAAGAATCAACATAAATGGCTAAATATAATTCTGTATAATTCTATAATATTAAATATACAATGTTTGATAATGTTTAGTAAACAGTATCTACTAACCATATTGGTTATTTACAGATGAATATAATTAAGTAATTAAATTTAAAAATAATTTTCCTAGAAGATGTATGCGTCTGCTTCAGTTTTTAGGACCTCGTGAGGCTTGAAACTCTGTAGGTTTTAAGATGTCGAGTTTGGTCATCATATAGATGCCAATAATGTCCAGGCTTTAGAAGGAAGATTGCAAAGGTCTTGCAGTGCTTGCATGTGGGAAGGTTCACCTCAGCATGAGTTCAGAGTTGGAGTAACACAGTCAGGGCAAATTCTTCTTCCATTCTCCAACATACAACAGCACTGATAGAAATACAGCAAGGAGAGGCATGTATAAATCACCTTGTTTATGGGCTGATTGGACCTCCCTGGTAACCGGTTCCTCTATGGATACCTGGCAGCCTCCAAAGGTGAACTACAAGGCCATCTCCACCTACACGAAGTGAGACGTTAACTGCTTCCAAGGTTTCAGATCATTCTAAGGTCCTTTTTTTCATTCCTTCTATGATGGATGACTCGAAAGTACTAAAGCTAAAATTTTCTAGTTATGAAGCAGAATTTAATGCATTTAATATTCCCACAAATCAGTCAAAGACCTACCAAGACCTACCCAAACACCACAAAAGTCTATCAGTTTGACAGACTGTCCTTTGACCGTCTTCTTAAGCTCTTTCTAAGACCTCCTTGGTTAAACAGCAGTCTTGTGTTTGTGTCATCCCTGTTGGCACAGGCAGGCTGTGAGCACTCCAGAGGCCTCTTTGGTTCAGCCTCTGCTCTCCTATCTTGTCCTGACATGCTCACCTGGCAATCTCCAACCCTTGGCCAGCAGTGGTTACTGTCCCCTGCCCACCTCAGTAGACACTGCAGCATGTAGCATTCGTGATATAATATAAAAGCTACCTCAGGCATACTCTTCTCATTACTAATAAGTTATTCTACACATTGTATTTACCTCTGCAAAGAGTCACACTGCAACTGCAGGGAATTTGGGGATTACTGAATCATCTGAGGCTTAGTCTATTCTGAGTTGTTTCAGAGGACAGGAAATTAAGCCAAACATAAGAATAAATAGCTCCACTGTTTACAAATTATACAGTATACACGATTGCCAATGTTCTTACATTGAGAAAAGTCTTTGCAAGATTTTCCAGATTTTTTTTTTGTTTTTTTACTTTTTTGCTGTTGCTTTTAGCAACAAGAAGTAAGGATTCTGATCATTAAGGTTTTTTCCTATTCTATTATTTTTTCTTTTTTCCTTTTTTGGATCCTGGAAGGAAAAATGGATGGCCCATGTTATTTTCTCTGCTGATAACTGCAGCCATTTGAGAATAAGTAATAAGGGAAGTTGAAAAATGCACTCAAGCCCCAGATGATCATTGAAATCTTTCAGTCATGGAAGAAACATCCTGAAGATACACCATTTATGAACTCATTTCAGAAGAGCAACTAGAAAATTCTCTGCACAAAACTGTGGTGTAATAAGGTAGTAAGGATAAGAAGGAGAGCACAGGGGATTAGAAGCACCTCATCTCAGGACATAAACCTTCAGCGTGGGTGTAGAAAGTGCTGGTCCCAAGGCAGAGTTCCAGCAACGCTCTGCAGTACAGTGGGGAATCTGTCATGAGAAGGAAGCTTGTGTATGAATAACTTTACTTGGCAAAAATCTTTCTTCAATATCAGTTTTCCACTACACTGAGTTATGAAATGTCTATGGATACAACTGGAACTTTCTGTCTGGCTATGAATTATGTCATAACTGTGGCATAGCTCCATAAATGGATAAAACTAACTGTTTTCCTCATCTTTAGGTATAAGTTCCATTTCATAATAACCATAAGACACAGCACACAGCTATTACATTTCTCAAGTGATTACAGTTGCTCAGTGTTTGGTCTCGCGCCCTGCAGAAGTGTTAAATTTCACTATCCGTAAAGAGCAACCATATACCTTCTGTCTGAGTGACCTACATTTAACTTGTGAAAAGAGCAAAACAAGGAAGAACAAATACATATTTTCCACAGGAGAGAGCATACAGTGTTTGTTTTCTATATAGTGATCTGCACTATATCCAGTGAATAAAAATTACTTCTGAGCTCTGCACATCTAGATCTGATCCAAAGCTCATTGAAGAAATGGGATTTGGATCAGTCCCAGAGAGAGTGCTAAGAGTGTAAAACTGCAGTACATTCAAAGCAAAAGTCTCATAGCTCCAGAACTGCATGTATCACATAAATCAAAGTGAAGTGCACCTTAAACACATTTTGCAGTGTCTTTTTTATTGTTGATAGATACTGTAACATTTACTGTGCTTTTAATTCGGTGAATATGTGAGCAGTTTCAATTAGACAAAAAGTAGTAAGGTAGATCTCTTGAAAGTTGAGAACACAATTAATGTGTCCATTTAGTAGGACATCACCAAGTACTGTGCATGGAATATTGCTAAGAATTTACAATTTTTTTTCATACGAATTCTAAGTTAAAATGAGGTCCTACAGCCCAGGACATCAAACAATACAAATTTCATAGCATTGTATTAGCATTCCTAACTTGAGTGTCGAAAGTGTCTGATATATGACAGCAGGGCATCTGTTAACTTATGAAACAGGCTGACATCATACCTAGCAGTTTTTTTGAAACAAATCAGGATGAGAAAATACATCTATGTTATTCTTCAAAAGGAATAAAACAATCTGAGTTCTTTGAAATCTAAAAGTCAATTTGGAATATTTGATTGCTCATCTAAATATACATTTGGTATAACATTTCCTTTGTTTAAATGAATTATTTTTTTTTCCATTACAAAAAAAAAATAAAATAATAATGCTGTAGCATTCTGTTGATTACAAAACCATGTAAACTTCTTACTAAATTCTATAATCCCCTCCCCCTCCTTTTTTAAGGCTCAAAGATATATTTAAAGCTTTCAATGAAATGAAAGTCCAACAGAAATATTTTTTTCTGTTTGATTGCAGCCAATAACCACATTGCAAAGTTGTGGCTGACTTGTAATTGGGGAACCTGCTGTGGTCCCACATGCTTCTCTGTTTATACAAATACTCCAGTATATAAATACTCATTTATTTTATATATACATCCATGCATACTATGTTTAAGTGGAACAAGGATGCTAGCTCTAATGAAGGTGTAAAAGGCACATTCTTTTCACACTGCTGCTTGCAGTGCATAGATTTAGTATATGGATGTTAGTTTAGTGATATAACCCGCTGAGTATTTTGTTGATTTTGGTAGAGTAGTGGCTAGAAAATGGATGCCTCAGCTGCCAGCATCCACTTCATAGGGTGATACATGTTTGAAAGCAAATAAAAGAATCAAGGCAGCATACAACTATACCACTGAAGCTGTAAGAGAAAGTTAGGGAAGCAAAATAGTAATAGTAAAATCTATGCTACATGGCTGGTTTTCTAAAACCTGTTATTCCCAGTGGCATCATGGTGTATTTCACTGCAAATTTCTTGGTAATCCTTGACTAGGAGCACAAATGAGGGAACGCATCTTTTTTGTTGTATGTGAATGTGTTGTGTGTACCTACAGTGAAGGGTAACTTACGCCTTCTACCTTCAGGGTTCCCAGTAAGGCTTTATGCCTCACCCTTCATCCTTCCAGAAAGCTGAAGTTTTCGGAAGTGGAAAGTTGCAACACTGTGCTCAGGCATTACAGTGCCATGCTTTTGTGTGAATCTGATGATAGTGCCAACTTGAAATTAACTGTGATCTGCAGGTTGTGCTTTAGAGTTGTCCAGTCCTTCATGTTCTGGTCCACAGGGGGTATTGACCATATGGAGTTTTACAAACAGTTAGTGTTCAAAATACTATGGTTCATGTAGGAGAGTGTCTGAAGAGAAATGGAAATTGACTTTAGAAAACAAATCTATAAAATATGATCACACTTGTCTCAGGTAGTTATTATGCCAAAGAACCCCACACAACATTTTAACCATTTAAAGATAAAGGCTTGTTTATATTTGAGTTTGATTTTTTAAATTATAAGATTGCTTCAGTTCTTCTGATTGACTAACATACATTAAAAAGTATTTCTATTCCCCCCCTTTTTTTTTCTCTGGAACTGCATGTTCCAAACTGATATGCAATTTATTAATTTCCTTTCAAGTTCTTAACCTATGCTTTATTTTTCTGTGGTTAGATAAATGTAGAGAGTCAAATGATAACTCCGGGCTCCATTTTTGCAAGTCTTTGAAAAAATGCGTAAGAAAAGTTTGCAGGGTCGCAGCTCCTTTCTTTCTTTGTGGAGAGAAAGTTGTGTCTCTATTACCAAGCTTATAATTATTTCAATGTTCATCAACAACAATATAATAGAAAAATGATAATAAAAATTGTTACTGTTCCTGAAAATATGTTAACTTTAAAAGGGTAATTTTTAATTTCTTTTTCCTACTCTTCTGTAAATGTCAAATAAAATGTATTTTTAAGCAAAGAAAAAAAGTACTTGATAGAAATTATTGGTAAAATCACCACTAAAATATGACCCAAAAATGTCTACTTTGGGGAAGCGTTTCCATCACCCACTCAAATCCAACTCTTACTGCAGTACCAAATTTAGGCTTTAGACTTGCAGTCTAGCTAATAGCAAGAAATTGAATCATTCCCAAAATGCTCTCTCTTCACCAATTACAGCAAAAGTGTAGGTTAATAACAGGTTTTCAGGCACTTCAGTGGAGGTACTTAAAGGCAAGTAGAATGAATCAGCACCTCAGTTTTCTGAAACTGGAGCCACAAGGAAACCCAGATGCCCAGGACTTGGTGACTGGTTGTCTAATGGTAGCCAGCTCGTAAACACTGGGAAGGCAGAAAAGCATGAAATCATGCAGCATTTTGAAACTGGAAATTGGGGACACCCTTATTAATTCATGGCATGTACTCATGGATCCTCCATGAAAGCAAGTATTAGCTCTTGTACCAAAACCATTGCAGTTTCATTAATTTTCCATAAAGTGTGATTTTAGCCATATATTCTAATGTAGAACTTGATTGAAATCTGGTTTTGATGTTCAGTTCTCTTTCCTGCCTAAGAGAGATACAAAACCTTACTCTCTTTTTCTCAGAATAGTGCCCTACCGCTGTGGGAACATTTTTAAGGCAGTCTGTGGAACCTGGTGCATCACACTGGGAACAAAGCAAAACCTGACCCACCTGGCCAGAATGATTAGGTTTAAAAAAAAAGATGTAGTTCTTCAACTTTAAAGTCAGGACAGTCTCTAAGGAGAAAAGTCTGGAATTCCAGTCCTCATTCCCTGGAAAACTCCTTTATTTGACAAGTAACAATCATTGAAAAACATATCAAAGCATTTCTCAGAAATTTATGGGTGAGTTCCCTTATGCCTTTGCCAAATCATGTTTTTCTTTGCTCACTTCTTGAATTTTTGTATGACCCAGTTTCTACAGGAAGCTGCAGTGGGAGTTGAACTCACTGTGGCTAGATGAGCCATTAAAGAACTTCTCATTTTATTAAATTCAAATAGAATCTGGGCCTGATTTTTATAAAAAAAACTCGGTCCAAACATTTTGTCACTTCAAAACAAATTGCTTCATGTTAACAGTGGAAAAGTTATCATCAGGAGGGATGGAACAGATTGGAAATATAGAAATGCAGTAATAAGTTTGATTCTCTCCTGGTATAAATCTGTGAAACAGAGTGGCTTGATGGATGTCATTTGTGAGAAGTGTGTTCTGGCTTGTAAACTGATGAGGCTGCTGTTCAGCTTGCTCATTGCTGGGATTGAGTTTTCTTTGTTCAGTAACTGTTTATTAAAGATAGCTAAGTAGGTGTTTGTGATTCTTCAGTAAAACAACAGAAAGCTTTCCAGCCCGAGTGTGTGGTTTGATGTGTTTTGCAAACATGGGCACTTTAGGTTCACACAGCTGTAAAACTTGAGAATATCCTCCTGTGGCCTCCCATGCTCACAGATCCTCACCTTAGATCTCTTCAAGGGGTTGGGGCCACCACTGAAGGAAGCTGGGCATGTCACTGAATGGGATTTATTGAAATCAGGGCAGACATTCATAGAGTTTTATTTTTCCAATGCTTGCATTGTGGAAGTGCAAGATGCTGTTTGTAAACTGTATTGCTGTTGAAGCAAGAAAAGATTCCTATAACTCAGATCCATTACTTTTGTTTTTTTTTTTTTTTTTTATGAAAAAACTAATATTTGAAACAAAGTCAAGGAGGAAATAAGAAAACTGATTAAATATTTGATTTTCAAAGGCAGTTGTGTAGAATACAAAAGAAAAATTAGTAAATGAAAAAATTAAAACTTTACAATCAAAATAATTTCTGTTTTCCTGAATTTTAGTTGTATCATTTTAATGTAAATTTTAAGGACAGAAGTCCCCATGCTACTATTCATCCAAGTACTCACACACATGTTAACTTTAAAAAATGTTTTAGGTCTGATTGAAGTTAATAATAGGAGTTGAAGGGTTTTGCTTAGCTGGGAATTGAGTGTTTAATTGTAATGAAGGGAAAACATTTTGTTTTTTCTCAAATATGATCATGTCACGTGAATTGTTATTCTCACCAATACATTGGTTTTGGTGTCCATTGGGATTCATACATGACTATTGTAAAGACCTGGTGGCATAAGATGAAAATAAAAGAACAGGGACTTTTATCTAGAAATAAGTTGTTCCGTCTTTCTAAAGTCGTAAGGGAATCAAGTAACTTTGGGGAAAAAAGAAGTGCAGAAGGGGATAACATGAAACATTATTTTGGAAATACAACATTCAAGAAACAACTATTAAGGTGGTTACTCCAGATAGATTACTTTAAAAGCAGACACTAACACCACTGAGTGAGGAACTTGAAGCTGCTGTTCTATGCAAACTCAGTTTATTTTCAGCGAATTACTCTAAATGAATTCTTTGCCTACTTTTTTAACAGATGTTATCACAGGGAACTGTTCTCCTGAGAATTGGCTTTATCATTCTGTCCCTGGCCTCTTTTGGACTACTTATGGAGAATAAGTAAGATACAAAACATAGGATTTTTTTCTTCTTTCATTATGTATTATTATAATTATATGGAAATCTCAAGTGTGTCAGAATTTATATCGATAAAGAAATACAGATATACTTGGACAAATATGTTGTTTTCTGTAGACCAGAAAATAGCACATGACTAGCCAGCACCTAAATACAAGAGTGTTCCCATAGCAATTGGTGGCTGCATTTATATTGTCCCTTGCAGAAAAGTTTTGGGATGGGTTAGTCATATCTCCCACTGTGCTTGCATTTATTGGGTCCACACCTCTGGATTTGGGACACTGGCAGGTGAGTGGGACCTGCCAGCTGTCCCAAGGCTGTTCAAGGACAGACTGCAATCATATTGTGTCAGTCCTGTGTAGCATGCCAGAGGTGACAGATATAGTGATGGTATATGAAAAGCACACAATGTAGCTCAGAGTAGACTCAATATCATGTGGAAGACTGTGTAGACTTAAGACTAAACTTAATCACTATGGATTCAAATGAAATTGGACATTGAGTACACAAGCCCAGTGAGACATACATTTTGAAGTAGTGCATACAGGCACTGTGGCCCTACAGGAGAGTGAGTGGCAGCCATAGTTTCTTACAAAGAAACTATTTGCCCTGCCAGAGCAGAAATGTGGAATAGAAGCTTCCTTTGAGACTAAGGTGCCAGTACTGCTTTGCACCTGCTATTCATTGTATTTTCAGAAAGGAATACCTTTTATTTTTATGGACTGAACAGTTTCTTTCAGGATAGGTAAAAATCTGTCAGTATGACATATATGTGTATAACTAAGGGAGTTAATAATGTGAATTAGTAAAATTTACAGAAATAGACCCATGAAAAGGTGTATACTGTAAAAACTTAACTATAAGGTTACGAAAGATGACTTGCTGGAGGACATCACAGACTAATTCTACTTTCTGTTTTTCACTGAAGTTAAAAAAGAGAAGATTGGATGTTAATCTGAATTGATTCCCTTTTCTAGGTCCAAAGCAGAAATTTTGGAAATCATCCGCTGCTTAGTCTTCATAGGTATTTACAAACTTGGCTACTTTAGGAGTCAATTTTCTTTCTTGGGCTATGCATATGAGGTAAGACATTTACTTTGAAGTGTCTATGCTGGTTACTCTAGATTTTTATCCTTCTAGAAAAAGCAGAAACACTAGACATTTATATTTTGCTTTCTTATTTTTTGTTACACTATTTGAGCATTGTTTTTGTCTTATCTCTTTATTCTTCATTTTTATGATCATTTTGTAAGAAAATTATTTGGGTTTGCTACAGAGATGCCAATTTCCATTGGAAAAAATCCTGAAAGTGTGTATTTACCATTTCTTGTGAAAATAATGTATTATTGACCATATGCTTTGAAGAGAATAATGTAAATGAATTGCTGAATTTGAATTGTTTAATTCTCCTTTTATGGGAGAAATCTTGAAATGCTTGGAGTCTGGAAGACTTAAATATAAAATATTTTGTTTTGTACTTATACTTTACCTCAGAAACATACTTTTAGCCATGACAAAGAGAGGATACTGAACTAAATACATCTATAGTCTGATTAAGTATGGTTGCTTTTGTGTTCTTAGGACTCATTTTTATCCTATTTGTGTCTTTAGCTTTTTAATCTTTTTTTTTTTTCAGTACAGTTAGCATTTAATGACCCTTTTAATAGTATCAGAATTAAAATAATCATTAATGAGATTCTGATCTGAATAACATTACCAAGCTCCCTACTGTTGGTTACCAGCAAAGGTTGTTTTCAGTAAGGTTACAAATAGGTTGCTGGACTAATAGAACGGTTATCTACTACTTTTGGATTAAAATCAGAAAAAAATCAAATAAAACAGTAGGGACTGAGACTCAACCAAGTTCAAAATGGTTCATTTGACTTGAAACACCTGCAAAATTTATAGCAATTTTCCTAATTGGAGGTTTCTGGTCATGGTGTTGATTCTCTTGCTTTTCTAAGGGAACAGGCAATGGAAGAATGAAAAATATCTATTGCTGCTGTGGGTCTGGGTGTTTTTTTGTTTTGTCTTTTTGCCTGGAATAGGAAACAATAACTATTAGACAATATTTAAAGCTAGACAAATGCCACTAATTGAGAATTTGTTAAATTTTTCCCCCATATTGTTACATTGTCAAAGCTTTGGTGTATATATCAAGCAGCTCTTGAATTGCTTTGATAGGAGTCTGCCAGAACTCAGCAGATATTTTAAGGGTTTTACTTGCTTAAATATAATTTGGGAAATGTTTTCATTATTTCATGAGTAGCCCAATAAAGTAGACAGGCTTGTAGCAACAAATTCTAAAATTTGGCAGCTAATCCTAGAGGCCTTGAGATATAGCTTTCAGACTTGAATTATTTGGGTATTCTAACTGAATTTTGGGAGAATTATATGTCATAGTATACACTCTCATTTCTTGCTGAGTTGTGTGTATTCATACGTAATGGTGCTTCTTACTAAGAAATGAGTAGAAGTAAAATTATCAGATTATTATTTCTATTGTTTGTAGGGAATTATGGTTCTTACTCCATTTGTTATATTTTTCTGTCATAAAAAATTTAACTTTAGTGTCATCTTGAGTTCTGCTGTGCTGTACTCTCCTATCCTTTCTTGTGTATAATGTTTTTCCTTTTATCCTTTATATTACAGTTCTTTGTTGCTCTTATTTTAGTTCCTTGTTTGGCACAGTCCCTTGTTTGGTAGTCCATTTTTCACAAGAAAGAGGAGTACCTTGCTTACAATTTTGCTTTGAAAATTCTGAAAGAATAGTTGTCTTTCAAATAATTTGCTGTTGGGGAGACCAGAATAGATAATGTTTCTGAGTAATGCCAATATGTCCACACTTGGGATTTACATTTTATCATGAATCAACAATTTGGTGATATTAATAGCTATTATGATCATAGAATCATAGAATAATAGAACAGTTCAGGTTGGAAGTGACCTGTAAAAGTCAACTAGTCCAATTCCCTGCAATGAGCAGACACATCTTCAACTATGTCAGGTTGCTCAGAGCCTCGTTCAACCCGACCTTGAATGTTTCCAGGGATGAGGCAAGTACCACCTTTCTGGACAACTTGTTCCAGTGTTTCACCATCTTCATCATAAAAAGTATTTTTCTTTTTTTAGTCTCAATGCTTGTGATGAACTTCAAAGCATTCCCCATTTTAAAATAAATTATCTGCTTTTGCTCCCAATGCATTATACAGTTTCTGGATTCATGTTAGTTGTGTTCTTACATGTCTAATGGGGTTTGTGTTAAAAAAAAGTCTGAGCAAAGAGAAACTGACGAAGATTTTTCAATTCATGTTGAAAAGTCTTCAAACATTAATGTTTTATCTCAATGTTGACCTGATCATTTTGAAATAGCAGTACCAGAAAGCATAATAAATAAACAAACAAATTGTTTCCCCAGAAATTAGTTTTAGGATTTATCCTAAAATTGTTTCTGTTCAGCATTCAAACAAGTTATGTATCCTTAATAGTATGATAGTATAGAAAACCTTGAGTATCTTTTGTGGCCCATAAACCTAGAGATGCAGGTTTTTTAATTTATGCTACATATGTCCTGGTAATATTTATCTGCTTGCTTTTCAACTTCCTTTGCTCTGTTTCACTTTCACATCCTCTTAAAAATTTTAAGAGGTATAAATTAAAACATTTATTTATTATTTTTGTTTTACTCATCTAAATATCCCTTCTTTAACATACACGTACTTAGGTTTAGCTGACTTTGATCTTTTTAATGTAATATTTCTAGTACTCATAATCTGTAATATGAAATATATCAAAGGATGTCCTCCTTACATCTTTGTCCTTATATGTTACCAAATAAACAATGCTTTAGTAATCCAGCATTCAAGAATGAACACACAACATCATGTAAAAGAATTTCTATTGAGTTTTTTTTTTTACTATAATTTATGCCTTCAAGGGCATAATTACTTAGGATTGAAGAGAAATTAATTGCAAGAGACACTACTCAGTGTTTCTAGAATTTAACAAATAATTCTGTCCCAGAATTCTTAAGCTAACAGTGCACATTCCAGCAGATAAGTGCAGGACTGATTTTACCAATGGCATGTTCAATTATTAGTGAAAAAATATGTCACTCTTGTCTATACATGTGGGCTTTTTCTATTACTATGTTTCATATGTTCATATTTCTCATGACTATTTTAGAGACAGTAGATAAGATTGCAGAAATAAATAACTTTGCAGTACTATTTGCAGGGTATTCTAACTAGCAAAAATAGGTGCCTTAAACTGCAAATGATTGCATTTGGCTCATAAGAAGGTCTGACAATTATCAGAATTAGTGCATTGGAGAAAGGCCTTCTGGGTGGAAACTAGATGGAAAAATAAAGAAGAAATTAGAGAAAACTAGGGGATCAGTGAGAGAAGGGAGAAGAACAGAGGAAACAAGGAGCAAGCCTTTCCCACTTTGCTGTTAAATTAGCTTAGATGGGCGTGAAGAAAGCAGCTAATGATGGCAGTCTGAGGGGGAGGAGCAGTCCTGTCCTCTGGCTCCAGCCTCTTACCCTCCTCGCTGCCCTGCTAGCAGGGATTGTCAGCTGGTCTGACTTAGGTAGCCAAAGATTTTTCTTCAGATAAATGACAAAACTTCCTGTGGAGCAGGTGAGATTCTTAATGCTAAGGCTCAGGGAAGGTGAAAGTAAAATGAAGCTATAGGTGTGTAAGAAAGGACTTAAAGCTATATCTTAATATGATTGTTAACTGTGTCTGCAGTCTAATAAAAAAACAGCATTTGCTCTACTGATACTTCAAAGTTGTGTGTTACCAGCTTTGGTTCTGTATGAAAATGATGTTATTTTTCTGGTCATTTAAATGTATTGTTCTCTCTGCTATTGTATTTGAAATCCTTCGATTATATGCTCATGGGGATCTCTCCCAGTGCCCTTTCCTTCTACAAACAAGAAAATAATTTGAAGCTATCGTAATCACAAAAGTGACTACAGGAGGTAGAACAGCGCATGTTTCTCAGCATGCATTTTCTGTTAACCTTGTCCTGAATGTATTTTGTATGGATGGTTAGATGAAAGAAGTAGGGGTGATTGTGGTTGGTTTGTTTGTTTGGTGTTTTATGTTTTGTTTGTTTGTTTACCAAAAAGTGGTGATGTATGAGGAAATTTTCAGATCCTAAGAAAATTGTTTCTTGGGTGGAGGTCAGTGAAAATCTCAATGGTAGGGACAGAGATATATTTGACTGGTTTGAAGAGCCAGTATGTTTCTTTTTGAGAATCTGTGCTGCCACATCCTATACTAGTTAGTTTTCTTTAGGCTGATTACTTCATGCCTGTGTAATGTGATGATTGTGTGTATTACTAAAGCCAAATCATTTTCTGTCAGACTGGGCCTGGAGCCTTCTAACCACCTGGAGGTAGCAGAAAACACTGCTTGTATGTTCAGTTATGTGACGGTTCAGCAGGCATGATATGTAAAAATAAATCTGTGATGATGGTGCACCTCTTCAAAGTGTTTCCATCCAACTGCTCCGGTTTGGCATCAACCTGCATATTCCATGAGCTGAATTTGGTCAAGCACTGGCTGTTATTTGACAGTAGTACTAATGAGGAGCAAGTAGAAATGAAAGCCATTGACATGTTGTTGGAACTCTTGTCTTAAATATTTTCAACAACTCTCATAGTGGCTGCAACTCAGTACTGAGAAAGACTCTTTAAGGGGCTAGGAGTGAGGAAGCTGGAGGAGGATGTGCTCATTTATCTGGCAGGCATGCACGCATTTATCTGGCAGGCATGCATTAATTTACAGGTAGGAAGGACAAAAATTTAGGGCAACTGTCATGGAGGAAAAGAGAGAAAAAGAGAGACTGTATATACATGTGATGTTTTAAATTAATAACTTGTTTTCTTTTTTGTTTTATGTGAGTGTGTGGTACATTAGAAATATAACTAGCTTTGGAAGTTATACAGAATGTTGTGCTGCAGGGTATAGTTCAGCCCTTAACTAATGAAGGCAGAAATAAGCTTTGTTGTGGTCGAATTGTTTATTTACGCCTCCAGAGTATCTGAACTTGGTAGATTCAGCTGTTGCAAAAA